GTCAGCAGCCGACATCTATCATAAAAGTTTGTCCGTCAGCAGCTGTCATCTATCAAAAAGGTTTGTCCGTCAGCAGCCGACAAATCATAAAGGTTTGTCCGTCAGCAGCCGACATCTTTCATAAAAGTTTGGAGCAAGCTCTTATTTTATAGCGTAACAATAAGCTGTTCCTATTGGTCATACTGTAAGTAAATAGGGAAGAATCCGGCTGAAATTTTAGAGTCTGGTGTCCCTACTTTGAAGCTCTGAAGAGTATATACGGTCGATGTGGTCAATGAATTTCTTATTTTTCAAAGTCTGCAAATTGTCGATATAAATGAATGTAAAATTGAAGTACTTCATTAAGGTTTTTGTAACCAGTCCTGATATGCTCACCAAAGGGAAAAATTCTACTTTCACAATCAATAGTTAGCTCACACTATAAAATAAAGACAAATAGGGTAACCTTGAAGTTGTGAACGTGCTTTCTCTGAAAGCAGTTCAAAACCGATATTTACATTTTGACTTATGATACTTGACATGAGATAATATATATATAGCGGCCAGAAAATAAAGTTTATGTGTTTAAAAATAACATGAAGTTAAGATTAAACTCCATTCTGTCCAATGCAGCTCATTAATTTTGCTCAATAACATTTACCATAGATTATACTTTGTGACCCCCCCCCCCCCAAAAAAAGGCAATTTTTTTAGCATGGTCAAAAACATATCACACAAAGAAATAGCATATTTTCTCATGAGTTAATGATGGTAACTATAAAACCGTATAGTCATCAACACCCCGCATCTTAAAAATTACATACATTACACGAAGAAAACACGTGTCATGAAAAGCAAAACAATAGATTGTTAAGGAAACGATTTGGCTTAAACAACAGAATATTAAATGCATACCACGAGGAAAAAATATCACCTGAACACCAAGGTATTGAATAAATTAGCCACGGGAGCATTAGTATTCTAGAATGTGAAATGACTGACCTTTTGCCTATGATAAACACAAGCTGAAAATGTGAGAATAAAGGAGAAGTTGTTGTGATACATGGCATACTAATCAAATGAAATTGTCACTAATTACTTTAACAAAACATTTTTTACTCGTATGACACTTAAACATTAGGAATATTTACCGCCTGAAAAAAGTTTCATTATTCTCCGTTAAATTCGTGTTCTTAGACAAGGTGATTTGTTAGGTTTTGTTAATTTTCGTTTCTAAATAAATATATATCAGTCAATTCCCTTCAGAACCCTTAATTAGTTTATTATCCTTAAACTAATTCTTGGATACCATTGCATATAGGCTATACATGCAATTAATTATATTACTCAAAGGTCCTCTGTCGTATTGATAAGGAAACTGGTAGCTTCATATATCTGATATAAAAATGAAAATGAAAACAGGATCCTTTTAAACACAGTACCAAAAATGTGTGTGAATTTAGAAAAAAATACCTTTTGCTTTTACACAATTTATTGGTCTAAGAAATTTCTTTCAATGCTCTTTAATAAAAAAATAAAAAAACAGATTTAATCAAAGCTGTTCGACACAATCCTAATGCTTAATGTTGTCCTCATGTTTCAATTTCAATATTTGAGGTGTAATATGACAATTTACATAAAGAAACGAAAAAGGACTTAAACCATATTATGAGAAAAGTCTGATCCACATCAGAGATATTTGAGACAAACGTTTCACAACAATGATGTAAACATGTCACAACCAATCGTTGTCAGGTAAACATGTATTAAGAAATTCTATATTTAAATTGATATGTTAAATATATATATCAAAACAGTAAATCGAGCTCAAAAATCTATGAAATTAGGGCAGAATATTAGAAATAGGAAAAAATTACATAGAGTCACAAGGAAAATAGGACCAGCTGTTCCAGCACATATTGTAATTGATCGACGAAATCTTGGACAAATCCAAGTCCATAAAGTAATGACATGGGTGATGACACCGTAAATGTAATATACAAACTGCATCAGTAGATATCTCCATTAATTAGCAATAATGAATAAACATGGGAAAGGCATACTATTGAAATAGTCCAAGATATGGTGTCATCTGTGTCCTCCAAAAACAAAATTATCAACATTATTTATTTTTATCCTACACTGACCTCGCTATTCTAACTACGGTTAAATCGCATATCCCACATATACCTAGTTATTCGAAATAAATATATTGTTTATCCCAGTTAGATTCAGCATGGACTCTAGCCAGGATCAGATGGCCCTGAATCACGACTATACTTCCGTCTATAACCCAAGACACATGCGTGTCATATTTCACGGTAGATGATCCTGATTTAGGACCGAGAACACATCCCATCGTTACATGATTAATTAGCATTACTAGCAAAATATCTACTAATTAATATTGCAACACCATCACCTGATAAACACATCATATGAAAAATAAAAGTCAAAGATCACATCTTCCCGGTGAAACGACCTATAAAAGGAATTCGCCACTGTTCGTCATCGCACATCCACCGAGCCAGCCATTGAACCATTCCCGAGTCCAGTCGACCATCTTATATGTAAGTATCAAAATAAGTAGATTTTTGTTTTGCATTTAAATAGTTTTAATTTTCGTCATCGTCCTCATGTTTAAAAAAAAAAAAACTCGAAGGTGAAAAAAACAGCAAATCGGTATAAAAACATGTGTTAAATGAATAAATGCAAAAAAAACTGTGTTATCGAATTATATATGTTATGTCGTCCAATTACACATGCTATTGTCATGTAATAACACATGTTATGTCATTATATTACACATGTTATTGCAAGTATTTACATACGTTATATCATCCAATTACACATGTTCTGTCAAGCTCTAGCAACAAATTCAAACAAATCTAAGAGCGTTTACAACAATTTGAAATCTCGGATGTAGATATACATTTATGTTTCATTTCTTATTATAAAATTGTTATGCAAATATGTCAGTTTATTATATTTTTAAGCATTGAAAAAGACAATTAGTTGCAAAAATGCTTTTTAGTAACAAAAGATGTCACGTAATAAAAGTCCGCATTTATTACTATGGTTAGCCCTGTGTGATACTCAATGGATCATTATTCTCTAGGTGTTGCTTTTTTCAGATCTGCCGTAGAACTCTAACACCATGATAACACAGGTTACACTGCTCCTGTGCGTCGTGGCTTTAAGCCTTGCCGATTCAGTATACCCTAAAGGCGGCTATGCCAAGGGGTACAAGGGAGGCTGGAATGGAATGAACGGAATGAATGGAATGAACGGAATGAATGGAATGAACGGAATGAACGGATACGGCAGGAGATATTGGGGAAACAACATGATGAGCGGAAACAACCCATACATGTACGGAGGATGGGGAAATGGAATGTACGGCAACCAAGGATATGGATGGGGCCCAAGTATGGGACAGGGAAGATGGGGAATGAATATGGGAAACGGTTATGGATGGGGTCCGTCTATGGGAAACGGAAGATGGGGAATGAATGGTATGGGAAACGGTTTTGGATGGGGAAATGGTATGGGAAACGGCTATGGATGGGGACGAGGTATGGGATATGGAAGAATGGGAATGAACAATATGGGAAATGGTTATGGATGGGGGTCAAACATGGGAAACGGTTATGGATGGGGAAATAATATGGGAAACGGGAATGGGTGGGGAAATTATATGGGAAACGGCTATGGATGGGGAAATAATATGGGAAACGGTTATGGTTGGGGAAATAATATGGGAAACGGATATGGAATGGGTAACAATATGATGAATATGGGCAGAATTGGTGGTTATGGATGGAGCGGAAGAAGGGGAATGATGGGAATGAACGGAAACGGATACGGATGGGGTAACAATATGATGAACAACGGGTACGGAACGATGGCAGGAAAGGGCATGAACGGATTCAGTGGAATGATCGGAAGAGGAAGCAGCAAGGTAATATTATCTTCTCACTTTCGTCACTAATGTTTAATTATCCCGGCGTATATATATCCTATTATATGATAATAAATGTCCATGTGAAGGAAGTAAATATAGAAAAAATAAGATTAACGACTGACAAAAACACTAGCTGCTTTCACCCTTCACAGAGCTCTTCAGGTTTGAAAAGCCCTGTGAAGGGTGAAAGAAGCTAGTTTTTTAGTCGGTCGTTGATCTTGGTTTTTTTTCTATATCCTATTAAATATAGCTATACCTCATGTATCATTATAACGCATCTATTGAGGGACATAGACGTTATGACTGAATTCAATTTATATGTAATCCAGAGTTTCCTTGATATAAACCATAGTAATTCACCATGAGTTATTACAAAGTCTGTTATCGTGTCACCTGGAAGCTGGGATAATTCAGTGTGATGACACCCGTCATATAACAGGTGCCATAGGAATGGAATCTTACCTGAGATTCTCTATCCTATTCGACGCAGTGTTATGAAAGTATTGAATATGCAGTTGAACACAAACCTATTTATTATAAATCAGTTTTTACAGTTTCGTTTGATTTTTAGCTATTTATAGCTGTAGACAATGAACTCATCATTTTCCGATATGCAACATGTGTAATTACCACTGTGTAACTTCTCGAACAATATGATGATGTCACCTTTCATGGCAGATCCTGAATCTCTGTACACATTCTCTCTACATGCCAACACCATGTTAAAGCGTGAGACAATCCGAAGGCACACGACATAATGACTAATTGTAATGCCATATAGTAATGTTAAAGCGTGAGGCGGATTGCCTCACGCTTTAACATTACTTTATGGCATTACATTAAGTCATTATGTCGTGTGCCTTCGGATTGCCTCCCGCTTTAACATTACTTTATGGCATTTCATTAAGTTATTATGTCGGGTGCCTTCGGAATGCCTCTCGCTTTAACATTACTTTATGGCATAACATTAAGTTATTATGTCGTGTGCCTTCGGAATGCCTCACGCTTTAACATTACTTTATGGCATTACATTTAATCATTATGTCGTGTGTCTTCGGATTGCCTCACACTTTAACATTACTTTATGGCATTACATTAAGTCATTATGTCGTGTGCCTTCGGATTGTCTCACGCTTTAACATTACTATATGGCATTGCATTTAGTAATTATGTCGTGTGCCTTCGGAATGCCTCACGCTTTAACTTTACTTTATGACATTACATTTAGTTATTATGTCGTGTGCCTTCGGAATGCCTCACGCTTTAACATTACTATATCGCATTACAATTAGTTATTATGTCATGTAATTTCGGATTGCCTCACGCTTTAACATTACTATATGGCATTACAATTAGATATTATGCCGTGTGCCTTCGGATAACCTTACTCTCTAGCATTAATATATTACATCACATATATCTATCATGATGTAAATCTCTTTTGGATTTCTTCATGCGTTAACACTTCCGTATCAGATTACAGATAGAAAAGACATCATAATGCCGTATTACTTCGGATTGCCTCTCGCTTTTATGCTACTATAGCACATTACAGATTGCAAAGACATCATGATGACGTATGCCTCCGGAATGCATCACGCTTTTATGTTACTATATCGTTTACAAATAGCCAAGACATTATTATGGCGAATGCCTGAGGAATGCCTGAGGAATGCCTCAATATAACATTACTTTGTTACATTACAGTCATCTCGAAATGTAATTGCTGTTTATTTTCATCTTAATTTTATTTTATTTTGCAGAAGGGATCTTATTAGAAGCCTTCAAATTCATTTCGTCCTCACAATCCTCAATGTGTTGAAGTCAGATGTGATGTAAATGCCTGGCGTTGTCCTGCAGAAAGAACATTGCTCTTCAAACTTCAACACTGACAGACATGTTTATCTTATTGTAAATCTTTAGTTTTGTAATTAAATTTATGAGCAGATTAAACAAAGGTTATTTCATTTTTATTTTAAAAATGTGGGAAAGCACCAATTTTGATTCCCTATAACAATCCGATCTAGAGTGTTTAACTAATGCTAATCAAAATCTATTTAATCTGAGGTATTAAAAGTATCTTTTATTGTCCCTGAAGTGTTTCACCAAACATTCGAAAACCATGCTTCCTTATTTGTTCAACCACACTTACTCTAAAACAATTCCAATTGAAATGCTTAATTAAAGCGTATCTAAAGTCATTCTTTCCTATGTGTTTTAACCAAACACCGTCGGTCCTGAGCCATTAGATTTGAAATTCGAAACTAAATCAAATAAAAACAATTACACCTGTAGTGCTTTAACTAAAGCAACGTTAAAAAACTATATCATAAGTGTTTCAATGAGCAAGGGAATACTGAAGTGAAAAGAAAAATTAGACCAGGTGTTCCGGAAGGGAAAGCGCCCATTGTTTTGTCGACGACTCCCGCCATGTAAATGTAATAGCTGGTCTTCATAGCAAAAACCGGAGCGTTGACAACAAAAATACAACGTACAACTAATCCAAAACATCGACCTTCGTATCACACAAAGAAATGGCATATTCCCAAATGGGATTATGACCATAAGACATATTGACACTTTTCATCGATATGCATCTTTGGAAACCCTATACTTTTAGTTTATCCGTCAGCAGTCGACATCAATCAATAAATTATGATATTCAGAACACGCTCTCTTGAATACCTAACCAACTGCGGCATTTAAACACCGTAGATAAGTAAAGCAGTGATGTGACTATCAAAAAAGCGAAATATCACGATTGAAAAAACGTAATCAACGCACGTATTGTACAGTTTAGTTGTAGGACGTCCCAGTTGATCATTTTTAGTAAAGATCTGCTTCGGTAGAAGAGTCTGAAGTGTCCTTTATATCAAGTTCAGGAGGGTATATATGATATTCGTTGTTATCAATCAATTTCTTGTTAATGAAAGACAGCATATCGTCAATATATCTTAAAGTGAAACTGAGGACTTGGCTATTTTTTCCTTTGCAGTCCCGATAAGCTTTTCTTTGAAGTCAACCTAATATAAAAATAATACAAGTTTGCCAGAGAGTAAAGACATCTTTCCAAATACATGCGTACAGCTTGCTGGAAAATCTTGCCACCTAAGTATATATAATTTTGGTTTTTGATGTGCGTTACACAAAATGGGCTCCGAAGCAGTTTACAACCATACATTTACATGACAGTTCACTTTCTTTAAATTAAACATATCATTTTACCTAATTAAAAATCCTCTTGTGTAAATTAACCTTCTCTAAAACCATTCCTTATGAAGTGTTTTTGAACTGAAATTGTCTAAAACTATGAAATATAAAGTGTTAAGTGCTCTAAAATCACTGCATTAGAAGTGTTTGACTTGACCTACTTTAAAACAAATGCCTCTTATTTGTTTAACTACCTAACCTTCTCTAAAAACATTCCACATGAAATGTTAAATACTTAACAACCATTCCACCTAAAATGTTACATAATCTAACATCATTCCATCTAAAATGTAAAATACTTTAAAAATATTCCGCCTGAAATGTTTCATTCTCTTAAACCATTCCACATGAAATGTTAAATACTCTAAAAACCATTCTATCTGAAATATTAACAAGAGGCCCAAATGGGCCTGCATCGCTCACCTGGTATACATATCACAGTTGTAACCTTAAAAGTGATCTTAGATAAAGCTAAAGGCAAAATATCAGTATTTATGATTAAAAGTAATTCAAAAGAACCTGTTGAAAGATTTAAAAACATTTCACTCCTGTGACCTTGAAAGTCGAACAAGGTCATTATGTTGAACAAATCTTATAGCCCTTTATCTCAGGATGCAACCTGCAAAACATCACCTACGTATCCTTTTTTTTAATTGAAATTAGGTCATTTAAATGTTTAAACATATTTGAGTAATTGTGACCTCGAAAGTGGGTTAAGGTCATTCAAATGAAAAAGCTTGATAACCCTTCATCGAAGCATGCTACTGGCTAAATATCAACATTCTGGGCCTCATGGTTATTCGGTTAAGTCAGTTAAAGATTTTAAACAAATTTGACCCCTGTGACCTTGAATATAATCAAGGTCATTCACTTGAATAAACTTAGTAGCCTTTCACCCCAACATGATACTGGTCAAATATCATCACTCTGGGCATTTTGGTTGTTCAGAAGTTGTATAAAGCTTTTAACATAGTTGACCCCTGTGACCTTGAATATATGTAAATATAATTCATTTGAACAAACTTGGTAGCCTTCATCCTTACATGTTACTGGCTAAATATCATTAGCCTAGGTCTCTTAGTTATTCAGCAGAAGTTGTTTAAAGATTTTCACATATTTTACCCCTGTGACCTTGAATATGAGTGAAGGTAATTTATTTGAACAAACTTGGTAGCCCTTCATTGCTGCAAGCTACTGGCAGAATAGCATCATCCTGGGGTTTTCGATTATTGAGAAGTTGTTTAAAGGTTTTTAACATATCTGACCCCTGTGACCTAGAATATTAGTAAAGGTCATTCATTGGAACAAACTTAGTTATTTTGAGGAAGTTGTTTAAAGATTTTTTAGGACAATTGATCCATGTGACCTTGAAAATAAATGAAGGTAATTCATTTGAACAATCTTGGTAGCCCTTCATCCCAACATACTACTGGCCAAATATCATAACCCTAACCCTAGACCTCTTAGTTATTCAGAAGAAGTTGCTTAAAGTTTTTAATATGTTTCACCCCTGTGACCTTGAAATTAGGTAAAGGTCATTTATTTGAACAAACTTGGTAGCCCTTTATCCCAATTTGCTTCTGGCCAAATATCATTATCCAAGGCCTTTTGGTTATTGAGAAGAAGTTGTCTAAAGTAAAATATTGACAACGGACGACGGACGCCGCACGATGGCATAAGCTCACTTGGCCCTACGGGCCAGGTGAGCTAAAAGTCTCAAAGCATTCCTCTTGAAATGTTAAATACTATAATGGCATTCCACCTGAAATGTTAAATACTCTAAAAAC